GTAAAACGCGAGTGTGGACGCGGATCGTTTTCATTCTAAAACGCCGTTTTAAAACTAAAACGTACTAGTGTAAACGGGGCCTAAGATCGACCTGAGCTCAATCTCCCCTCACCCTGCGAAAGGGGGGAGCTCTGGGCTTGAGGATCTCTTGAGCTCAGGGCTCTCTCCCGGGACAGCACGCCAAACAAGCTACATATAAATCATGAGCTAGGTGTGAACTCTTGAAATATTTCCATTGCGTCTGGTTACTGTGTGGTCTGACAAAGGCACACAATCTTCCTTTCGTGCCGCTTCCTCTCCAAATAACTTTGACGATGTCTTTGGTAGCTGGTAATAGCAATGCTTCGCCAACTGTGTGCGGCTTCTTAGCACGCGCGATGTGGAGTGATGCCAAATATGAGGCTTTAAAACACCTCTCAGGGACAGATGCTTGCTGCTAAAAAAATACTAGCCTGCCGGGTCAAACACAACTCCTGATGTTTTAATAGTCGATTTTTCTGCCTCATTGGGAAGTTTCTGCTGTAGATGGCGCTTGAGCTTGGAGGGTTTCATGCATTCGTTGGAGACAATCTCTTGAGAAAGAACACACTGGGGTCTATCTACTCCCTGCTTTAACATGCAGGTAAAACCAAACGCAATGTAAGATTCATCATGCTTTCTGGTTTCCTCAACGCTCGCCAAGTCAGATTTGCATGAAGTGCTTGTGGGAGCGGGATTCTTTACAAATCTTTCCATCATCTGTCCTGCACTTACAGCCGCTAACTGCTCCATTCAACTGTATCCAAAATCTTAAAGAGCGCAAAGGATTTTGGGATAAACACATTACAGTTAAGTATCCACTGATATAAACCATAAAACTATATATAGATTAATAATTTATAGTCATTAATAATTTTAGGATTGGGAGTATCCAAATGCGATGATGGCGGAGTAAGAAGTCGCACGTTTCTGCTCTGAATATTACTTTCAATCACTTTGACTAATCTGAGTTCTCTACGCGTTTTAAGCGTATCTGATATTTTACATAAGATTAACAAGACATCGTGACAGCGTTTATAACCTAATATGCCGAGAGGTAATGCAAAAAAGAACACTGGAATAACTGAGGAGGATAACGTGCAAGCGTCGGGTATGGCGGCTTCGACACAGGGAGACGACATCCGCGAGCTTCTCGGGGGCATCAGATCAGAGGTCGCAGCGCTCAGAGTGGAGATTCTTTCTGAGCTAAAAACCTCCATTTCAGCTGTGAAAGCATCGCTGCAAACCCAGGGGGAAAAATTGAAAGATGTCGAGGAATCATTAACCAGCGTGGATGGCCGTGTCACTTCTTTGGAAACTGCATGCGCAGCTCTGACCAAAGACAACGAACGAATGAAAATGAAACTCGACGACTTAGAAAATCGCTCAAGAAGGAACAACGTGAGAATAATTGGCATTCCTGAGCACACTGAGAGCGCGCATCCAACCGCATTTACTGAAGAACTTCTACTTAAAGTATTCGGGAAGGAGAGTTTTCCCAAGCCCCCGGTGGTGGATAGAGCGCATCGCTCCCTGGCTCCCGTACCAAAATCAAACCAACCCCCGAGACCCTTTATTGTTCGAATTCAATTGGGATTCTGAATTGGGAAATTGTATCAGACAGCAAGAGATCACGGAAGCCATCGTGGCTATGCAGAGTGGTAAAGCACCTGGGCCGGACGGCTTTTCTATAGAGTTCTACAAGAAGTTCTCAGCTTTACTAAGCCCACTTCTTGTAGCAGTATATAATGAATCTTTTAAGAGGGGCTCTCTCCCACTGACTCTCACACAGGCATCTATCTCACTCTTGTTAAAGGAAAATAAGGACCCCATTTTCTGTGAATCGTATAGGCCAATTTCACTGCTAAATGTGGACCTTAAGATACTAGCCAAGGCTCTTGCATTGCGCCTTGAACCAATTTGTCCAGCAGTAATACATGGTGATCAAACAGGCTTCATTCGTGGACGTAATTCGTTTAATAACTTGCGGTGTTTGTTTAATGTAATGTACATGCATTCACACTCTGATATCAATGAAATCATCGTTTCCCTTGATGCTGAAAAAGCGTTTGATCGAGTTGAGTGGGAATATCTTTTCTTTACTCTCAAAAAATGTGGCTTCCCTGAAAATTTGATTTCCTGGATCAGGCTCTTGTATCCTGCCCCAATAGCCTCAGTCTGCACAAATAATATCTATTCAGAATATTTCCCTTTGTATAGAGGTACAAGGCAGGGTTGCCCCCTTTCACCTTTGCTGTTTGCCATTTCGATTGAGCCCTTGGCCATATTACTTCGTCAATCTACTATTTTTACAGGAATCACTCGGAATGACAAAGAACATAAAATCTCCTTATATGCAGATGACGTTCTTTTATATGTCTCAAATCCAACTCATTCAATACCTCACATACTATCAGTCTTAAAAGATTTTGGAAAAATTTCAGGCTATAAAATAAATATGCACAAGACAGAGTATTTTGAGATTGATGCCCCTCTAGATAGATCTTCTTACACAATACCATTTAAAGTGGATCAGGATAAGTTTAAATACTTAGGCATATCAGTTACTCGCTCCTTTAATGACTTGTTTAAAGCCAACTTTTATCCATTACTAAAATGTTGTAAACAAGATTTCAAGAAATGGTCCACTCTACCTCTTTCACTGTCTGGACGTATTAATCTAATTAAAATGACAGTTCTCCCACGGTTTTTATACCTTTTTTCAAATATACCCATATTCATAAGAAAACTGTTTTTCTGTAACATAGATAAATTGATAAGCCATTTTATATGGGGAGGTAAATCACCTCGTATTAGAAAATCATTCCTCCAGAGGAATAAATCCCAAGGAGGCATGGCACTGCCAAATTTTTTGTTTTACCACTGGGCAAGCAACATTCAAAAAATGTTGTACTGGGTATCTTCTTGGGACCCAGAGTCAATTCCACTGCGGGTACAGGGTGAAAGAGCTTGTTCCAGAGCTTCTCTTAAATCTTTGATATGTGCATCACTTCCAATTTCAGAAAAGAATTATATGACTTCTTTTAATCCAATAGTTGTACATACATTAAAAATTTGGTCACAGTTAAGAAAGCATTTTGGCTTTCAGGCTCTCTCAATTGCAGGTCCCATTGCCTCTAACTGCTTATTTGCCCCATCTTGTACAGACTCTGCATTCCGGGTGTGGGAGGAGAAGGGGATTAAATGCCTGAAAGATTTATTTATTAATAATATTTTTTGCTCCTTTGAAGAGCTTGCTCATAATTTTTCTCTGCCCAAAAACAATTTTTTTTAGATTTCTGCAAATACGAAGCTTTGTTAAGTCAAAATTTAAATCTTTTCCTGAATTACCTGCTGCCTCAGTAATTGATGCATTATTAGACTTAAAACCCGAAAGTAAAGGACTAATTTCTCATATATACTCTTTAATTTGTACAATTGATCCTCAAAGTCTAGAACATATTAAAACCTCCTGGCAGCTCGACTTGAGCAGAGACTTCACAGACTTAGAATGGGATGGTATTTTAAACAAAGTACATTCATCATCACACTGTACCAGACATGCCCTTATTCAATTTAAAATACTTCACAGGTTACATTTTACAAATTTAAAATTGTCTAAGATCTATCCTACTGTTAGTCCAGCATGTAGTAGATGCTCAATTTCACCAGCCACAACTGCCCACATGTTTTGGTTCTGCCCAAATCTAGGGAGGTTTTGGAAAGATATTTTTCAATCATTTAGTGATATGTATGGTTTTCCTATTGAACCTGAACCCCTGTTGGCAATTTTTGGAACCAGTCCAGAAAATATTGTGCTTAAAGAAGAAATATGTAGAGTAATTGCTTTTACCACGCTACTGGCAAGGCGTTTAATTCTTCTGTATTGGAAAAAAACTGAGGCCCCAACACATAGTAGATGGATTAAAGACGTTATGTATTTTATTCAGCTTGAAAAAATCAAATTTACTCTAAGAGGTTCAAAAAATACTTTTTTAAAAACCTGGTCTCCCTTTCTTACATACGTTGACCATTTACAATTTTTGGAGCAGGAGGATATATAAAATCTCTCATAATCCCAAAAGACCCCCCCCCCCCCCTTTTTTTTCATATTTTCTTATTCCTCTTTCATGTCACTGTAACCTTGTAATGCCTTTCACAATGGCAGTGCTTGTAATAAAGGTATACAGAACCTTTCTTTTATCACACACTGAACTGTTCACTTTTTATGTGTATCGTATATCTTGAGGACTTTATGTTTGCAGACTGTTAGCTATGTATATCTTCTGTTAAAGCCACAAAAGGGAAAGTAGTGTTGGGGATATTTGTTTATATATTTTGTTTTGTTGTTGTTGATTGTTTGTCTTTTTTTTGTGCAAATGTAAAAATAAAAATCCTTATAAATAAAGTATTAAAAAAAATAATAATAATTTTAGTATTGGAAAAAAAAATATCTTGTAAATAATTTTTTGTTTCTGCCAAGTTTTTCGCGGACCCCCCAGCGCTCTCTTGCGGCCCACAAGGGATAAGGGCATACGGATGAGCCCTTCCCAATTCACACAGTGAATGAAACCAAACATTCTTGCTGTAAGGATCATGGCCCGAAATGTCCATCAGTTGTATCCTTCAAAATCATTCTCCACACCACCACCAGTGTGCATCATCCACTATCCTAAAAAAATAATGCATCAAAGCCAATGTTGTTATTATCGTTCACATGTCCAAGACTGTGATAAAAGAAAATAAATAAAGCCCACAATTACTCTCTGTACTGAAAATACGTCATTTTGTGTGTGTTTCACCAAATCAGTGACATCATGTATAAATTTTATGAGTTAAAATCCTGTATTTTTCTAAACAATTTAGTCGTTTTGATCAGAACTGAGGTTGATCAACAGATTTATGCAAAAAAATAGAAAAAATATTGATCTGATGCATTTTTACAGCAGATATATTCAGTGGATGTTTTCGTCCACAACAAAAGGCTGGTTAGATTGAACAGTGCACAAGGGTTAAGAAGCATTCAGAAATGTCTGCCAAACCCTCTCCACCTAACCGTTTGTAGTATTTGTAGTTTAACACTTTCTACCTGTGTTTGAAGTTGTAACAGCACAAGCACGTCAGTCCCTCCCCCGCATGACGTCACAGTTTCGAACGCTAATTAGAACACACTCTTGAACGCGCGTCAGTTTGATTTGGTGTTCAGTGGTGTAGATGGTGTTTGACAGTCAGCGAACAGTCATGCGTTTTCAGTCAAAAATACAGCGTTTACAGCACGATATGGATTACAATATTCTGGAGAGAATGATTACAAGAGATTCACCAGAGTTCAGGAGCCGCGGTCGCGCTGGAGGAGCGTCCGAACAGAGAGCTTCATCTGCGGCCGTCGTGGAGAACCAGACAGCAGGTAAGAGCACAGCAGCACACCGGTGGAAATATACTGTATTATTTTATATATATATATAGTAAATTTACTATAGGACATTTAGTGGGTTTCCTGAGGTAAATACTGCAGTGTTTTTGATATTTACTACAGTAAATCACAGTGATGTGGTAAATCTATTCTGCTATACACTTACTGTGGTAAAGTAGATAATATACTGTATGAACTACAAGACAAATTACGACAGATATCTCAAATGTCAACATCAATGATGTTTATGTATATAAAATGATATAATATCATTATCCTAATTCATATTTTCACTACATGTAAAGCACAATTATACAAATACACAGTTTTAATTCATTATGTGATCATATTTTACTCATTATTATATGTTTGAGAATGTAGAAGGCTAAAATAAACAATAATAAAATATAAAACTTCATATTATGAAATATAAGTTGTATATTGAACAGCTCTACAGTATATATTATCACAGTAATTGTTCTTGTTATACTGTATGTGTGATAACTTACATTTTTGGTGTGGCTACAGTAAGGAGATACGGCTGTTGAGGGTGTTTTAGCCTTCATAACCTTTAATAAATGGAATGTTTTGGTGTATTTGATATTTCAGTGTGAATGCAGTCAGAATCACAGTGTGTGTTAAAAAGATGAATGACTGTAAACAATTTAACTCTGTCATAATTCACACTGAAACACGGCTCTTTTAAAATATCATGAGTTATTCACATTTATCAGTTCACTGCCGTTCTTTAGTATCGAATCACAATCAGTTTTATTGCTAATACACAGGAATTTGTTATGGCTGCAGAAGCTTACAGTGTACGTAAATTGACATCACAAAATAAATATGAAAAAAAGACGATAAACATTAAACAGAGATGCAGTTAGTCCAAAAGATCTGAATGTTGAGTTGTATGTACAGATTTGTTATAAATATACAGGTTATAAGGTGCTGTGTACAAATGCGTATGAGAAAGTGTTGCATTGTATATTGTTATAAGTATAGTATGTAAGTGTAAATACTACAAACTAAATACTAGAGTAAATGCTGTAATATAATACAGTCTACTAGTTTACTGTAGCAACTTGTAAAATATACTACAGTAATAATTACTACAGTTTATTATTTGTATTATTTCCTGATTTGTAAGTCGCTTTGGATAAAAGCGTCGGCTAAATGTAAATGTAAATTATGCTGAAGATGTTTATTAATAGTACTATTATTATTGTACTGTAAAGCTGGTCTTATCGGCCACTAGGGGTGCTACAATACTGACTTTAATGATTTGGTTTGGTTTTAGGTCATGGATTCAGTTCGGTTTTTGATATGTTCAGTAAAAAAAAATTATATATATAAATATATAAAATAAAAAAATGACAAGTAAAATAAAATACTAAATGAATACAATAAAGCAAAGATGATACTAAAATTAGCATACGCTCATTCTGAAGACGTAGCTCTATATACATTACTGATAAATGATGTATCCAGAAGTACGTGTGGCTGCATTTTGTCTCTGAAAATAACGCTATGGTATGACGCCGTTCCTTTACGCGTCTACAAGCTGACCGCTTACCTCCGTGTGGACGGCTTTACTACTTTACGTCGGCAGACTTGTGATGCAGGGACCACGATGACACGGTTCGAGTCCGGTGAAGAACGGTTCCAGAAAGCAGGTAATGTCTAACCCTACTCCAACTGTAAACCCAACCGTCACAGTAATGTAAAAACAGATCTGGATCTGGAGTCTTCAATATAAGTATAGCTGATTAACCATGTGGATGGATGATATAATCCTTCTGAGCCTACCAGTCAGCGCAGAAGGCCCCTATGATAACGCTCATTAAATGAAGTGATAACATTCAAAGTGGGTGGTGATGTCCAGCCGCTGGTTGTTGTGCTACTGACCCGTTATCTGTACTTTCTAAATGTTTTCTTATTTTCTTTAGAGATGCAAAGACGAGGACGGAGGAAGACAGGCGTTCTTTCATTCTTCCGGAAAATGGGAAGAGCTATCCATAAGCTTTGCTGTATGGATGCAGCAGCAACATCTATAGTGGACCACACTGACCCATCTGGTAGCGCTCGTGCTGTCGGTAAGCAGCGAAACAGAAGGATTAGGAAAGACATGAGTTGTGGTTTTAGCTGATTATTATAATTGAAGTGAAACACAGATTAAAATATTGTAGAATTGAATATTATCCTGCTTATTACATGGCTATAGGCATGTGCTATTAGTTGAATTGGTTGTTATCGGGGAATAACACCTTGTAATGTTTTCTCTCTCTTCAGCCTCAGAATCGAGAGAACGGACTAGAAAGATCTACCTCAAGAAAGATTGCAGCAAAGTCATCTTGAGAATCGTCAAGGGCACCCCAGGGTCCCCGGATCCGTGTGGGGTCTGTGTTGTCTCCATTGACGTGGACCAACCTGGGATCTCCAGTGTGTCTGTTGACCCGGGACCTAATGGATTCTACTCGGATTCTTTTAGTCCGGGTCCACCTGGAGTCCTCCGCTTGTCCCTCGTCCTATGTCCATCTGGGGTGTTCAGTGTGTCTCTTAATGCTCGTCCATCTCGAGGCTGCAGGGTGTCTGTTGATCCCGGTTCGTCTGGGTTCTTCAGTGTGTCCTCTTATCCGGGTGCGTCTCGGGACTTCAGTGTATCTGGTAACCCGGATGCCTCTGGAGGCTGCAGGCTGTCTGTGGATACGGGTCTGTTTGGGGGCTGCGCAGTGTCTGCTGCTTCGGGTCCGTCTGATTGCGGCATGTCAGCTGCTCCGGGTCCGTCTGATTGCGGCATGTCTGCTGCTCCGGGTCCATCTGATTGCAGCATGGCTGCTGATCCGGGTCCGTCTGATTGCAGCATGGCTGCTGCTCCGGGTCCGTCTGATTGCGGCATGTCTGCTGATCCGGGTCCGTCTGATTGCAGCATGGCTGCTGATCCGGGTCCGTCTGATTGCGGCATGTCTGCTTATCCGGGTCCGTCTGGTTGCACCAAGCCTGCTGCTCCGGAACCGTCTGGTTGCACAATTCCAGCTGATCCAGGTCCGTCTGGTTGCACAACGTCTGCTGCTCCGGGTCCGGCTCCTCACTGGTGGATCAGCAGTTCCAGCCCGCCAAGCAACAGAACCAATCAGATGGCGGTGATCCAGTATTCAGAAGGCTTCATAACGCCGGCAGACCTGACTCTCTATGTGTTGTGTGTTCTTGTAATTCTTTTATTGCATGTAGTGTTTGTCTGCATCTGAACTGTAATAAATTGTGTTTGAATACACTTGAAACTGTGGTACAAAGCTCTTTTATTATGTGTGTTGATGATTTTATTTGTATTTTTATGTGTTTTGTGCTCTGGACATGCGTAATTCTCCTAATAATTTTTTAAATATATTGTATTTATTCAGCCTCATCACATAGTGTCAAGCTTAGTGCAGCGTCACACATCTTAAAGCATAAAAAACAAGGAAAATATTAGAGATAATATGAACACAGACATAAGGAAATAATCATGTAGAAATATTAATAAAAACATATTAATAAATATTAATTTTATGACTTATTATGACGTATCTATCTATCTATCTATCTATCTATCTATCTATCTATCTATCTATCTATGCATCTGCCATTATACTGTCTATCCAGCTTTTCATCCATCCATTTATCCATCTATCTGTTTATCCATTCATCCATGAATCTATCATTCTATTATTCTATCTATTTTTATGTCCACATATATCACAAAAATAATAATAATAATACAAATTATTAAAATAGTATTATTATATAAACATACAGCCATGAGTAAAATGTCATAATGCAATAATTATCTTTCTAAATTTAGATAATATTTATTGACAGTTGTCTAAAGAGCTCACTATCAACTTACAACAGCAGATTTGATTATAATAATCCCATAATCATTAGTACTGCTAACTTATTGCACTTAAAATACCTGCTGTATGATTAACATGTTAATGGCAGGAGAGAACAAGCACATTTATCAGGCTTATACTATTACAAATCAATTAATAAATCAATAAAGAATACCCAGTTATACTGACACACCAGTCACAGATCCCAGATCGAGGACTACTCAAGCAGATTATATGGATAAACCGGTGATGTGAAGTGCCATCAGCTTTCTTCAGGTCTCTAATTTCAGCTTTCAGTGGATTTTTCACATATTTCTGAAAGTCATTTCTCTTATATTTTGATTAGGAACCTGTCCAGATGATCCAGATCTGGATTGTTGTGCTGTACATTTGTTTGGTGCTGGTTTGATTGAATAGGTAGCTTAATTTCTTTCAGTCTTTAAGTTATAAATATGACACTGTTGCTTCATTCTAAGGGTGTCACGATTTAGATTTTTAATCAAAATCGATCGAAATTTATGCTCAACTTCGATTATCGAATCAAAAAATAGAATCGTCGATGCTGCCACGCCCCCATGTCACGTTAGCTTGGCTTGCCAAACAGGAAAAAAAACATGCTTGTTGAAGTGCTTGTTAAACTGCAGGAGACCCGTCGACAGAGCTTAAACCCTCTCCTCTTTCAATGAAGTCGCCGGTGTGGGAGTATTTTGGATTTCCAGTGAGTTATGTTCACAACGTTCGTGTTGCAGACAAAAAAAAAACACAGTTTGCAAGCTCTGCTATGTACGTATTACGGTTGGGATGATAGACGATGGGCGCATCCAATCCTCCGCCCCGCACCCGTTGCAAATCCGCTCGCGAAAAATACACACTCAGGCCCTGTTTCCACTAATATGTCTTTGTTTTTAAATGGCATTTTAGAACGACTACGATCCACATCCACACTGGCGTGTAGCATTTCTGAGTGATGTGACGTTGTGCGCCGAGGCTTCGAAGCATGTATCACAAAAACGATACATCTCGCAGTGAAGCAGTGTACCGGAGCTTGATTCGTTTTGCCATCATCACGTGATCAGTGACGTCCGAAGCTTTATTTTCACCTATAACCACGTGACTGCTTCCAATTTTGATTCTAAGGTTTAAACACCCTCATAGTAAAGTGTATAGCGAGAGATTAGGCGTCAATTACATACATTTGTACGGTTTCAAAGCACTGCACCAGTCCCACACACCAGTAATGAATCTAAACTACAATAGTAATTTTTAGTAAAAAGGTTTTGAACCATACTAAAGTGTATTAGCGTATTTTTTACAACTATCTTAAAAAAACCACTGCATATTGTAGTATTGTGTTTAACAGAGACCAGCCGGTGAGTGCAGCCCTGCAGCATCACACAAATAGCCTCTTCCTAGAGCATTCGCCTCCCATGCAGGTATCGCTGGGTCTATCCCAGCTTGGGACAGGACTAGTTGTAATATGATAATCTTTTGAATACCTTGGATTTTACTACAATCATCAGTTGTGTAATGTAATATATCTTGTGTAAAAACTACAGTAATTGAGTAATTTGTTTATATTGCTGTTGTTGTATTACTACATGAATGAGTTGGTCAGTTGTGAACATTTGACATTATGGCAACACAGTGCTTTCCCACACTTTCACCAGAAGAGGTCCTCATCGAGCTCTGATTTAGAAAGCTTCAAGTAACGAACCTTTGTCTGATACAATTGAGTCGAGCGCTTCACTGGTTCAGAAAGCTTCATTTTACCATCACTTGCATTTCTGAGCAGCCCTCCTTCCTCACTACCGCTGAAAACGCACATCACGTGACCACACACACTCGTTCACACACAGACACAGACGCACACACATTGTCATGCGCTCGAGAAAGCGGGTCCAGACAGTCAGCCGGTCAGTAGACTGCTTCCATCTTTTACTTTCACACTAGTGCTTAGTCATTTTAGTGCACACCTCAGATACTGTTGGCTGGTTCCTGTTGGTTGTGCGTCTTTTTTACCGACGCCATTATAACGACACAGATCACTGCCTATTCACGAGTCCCGCGGAAAAAAAGTGATTGACAGGTGGTAATTATGTGTGTATCTTGCCTTTATTCATTTACTGTATGATTTGTTTATGGGTAAAACAAAGACCATGCAGGTCAGGTAGTTTAAACGGTAGGCTACAAATAATTAATTCGTTATTAATTAATTATTCATAATCGAAAATCGAATCGTGACTTTAGAATCGAAAATGTAATCGAATCGAGGATTTGGAGGATCGTGACATCCTTACTTCATTCTGTTGAAAAACATGAACAAAACACACACTTTCACATTCAGTACGTCACGAAGACTGTGGAAAACACTGCAGAGGCTGTACGTTTGGTCTGTAATCAGCAAATTAAGAGGTACTGCTAAGAGTAAACGATTGTCTGTATATTTATTGAACACTATTCTGCATTGTAAGAAAACACTCCAGGATTGCATTTCATTTCTGTAAAGATTTCCTTTTTCATCGCTGCATCATCGACATGTACTCATCATCATATACTCTCATACTATGATGTCAGCTTGTAACTTACTGTCATGCATTTAATGGTTTCCCCCATTAAAGTGTGTGTTAACCGTGTGTTGTGTGCTCTGGACATGCGTAATTCTCCTAATACTTTTTAAAATATATTGTATTTATTCAGCCTCATCACATAGTGTCAAGCTTAGTGCAGCGACACACATCTTAAAGTAGGGCTGGGCGATTTGGCAAAAAAATAAAATCTAGGTTTTTTATAAAGTTTGACCGATTCACGATTTCGATTTTTTTTATTGTGTTACTCGTCTTCTCAAAACATTACAACAACATGACTGAAGTAACATTCTCTATAAAAGTAACTTGGAAAAACCATCTGGTTAAGGAACATTGTAGTTTTAATGTCATACAAAAATCGGTCAAGGTGTAAATAAATGTAAAACAAATTCACAAGTTAAATAGCGTTGCTGAAGATTTGAATAAGAAATATTTGTGTAAATATTCCCGTTGCAGGAATACAGAGGTACTGTTTGCAAGTTTTGCTGAGCCAAGGAAAGATTGGCTGTCAGCTCGGCTTTGACTTTGTCTTCTGATTGAATGTCAGGTTGTAATGATGCTGCCTTTTTCTTAAAAAGATACAGTGGAAGAAAAGGACTGAACATGTAAACTGTAAAGCCTAATTTAACCCAATGTGTGAAGTTGTGGACGTATAGCAGGAGCAAATAAAAGCACCAGATGTGTGTCTACTATAAAATAATATATTTAATTATTTTTCTTTTTCCCCCTTTTAAATACCGATCATTTGATGCGCTTTGCTCCACTCTCTGTATCATGCTGCCTGATCTGTCTGGTTTTCAGCTAGATCCGCTAAATGACGTCATGGGGGCGGGTACTTTCACTTTCACTGCTACAGTCCCTCACCTCTGCTCGTGTTCAAACCAAAAGATCGGCGCGGTTTTTCACATGGCAGGCTTTTACGTCCTTCATACGTGTTGAGATTGAGTTTATCGACTTGATGAGGGAATATGTCTTGACAATCCACACAGACGTGACTCAGACTAATGCAACAAGTAAAATCCTACATGACTTTAACAGGCAGTCAAGCAGGTCGCACACCAGGGGCCTCATGTATCAACGAAGCGTACGCACAAAAACTTTGTGTTCGCCAGGTTTCACGCTCAGAATCGCTCACGTTTAGAATTAATAACGATGAACTGAACGTGGGAATGTGCGCAGCTCCACCCCAGCTTCATGGCTGGCATTGGCGACTCCTAGAGGCAGTTGTGTTAAATTACTCTCTACAAAGTGTCTGAGCATTGCAATGGCAGCTGTATGAGACGGGTTCACTAGCAGGTATATAAGGTTTCCATACCATACAGTTGACCAGCCAAACATTAAAGCACAATTTGCAGCAGTCGCCTGTTTTCCCAATGTAATCTGAGCGATCTACTGCACGCACATTGCTATAAAGACACTCTCTGAAGATGAACTTGCATGCGTGAACAGGGCTCAAAATTAACTTTTTTACTTGGTAGCACCGGTGCTCCCAACTTCAAATATTGAGGAGCACCAAAAAAGATTTAGGAGCGCCCACCAAAAATGAATAAGCACCGCTGCAAATAGTTTTTTAAGGGATTTATTGTATTTTAAAACAACATCAATAGGACTAACAAAAACCAGAAACAACTATCGAACTAATGCTGTGATGACTTGATATTTGTGTGCAATAATTCCAAAATGAATGTCTAATAATTATAGAATATTAATGATAATGAAAATGACAATAATAGTAACAATGAACTGCCTTGAACGTGCATGAATATCTGCTATAAAAAGTCTGTTACTTTATGAAAAATAATTGTAGTTTGCATCAAACAAAAA